TAGATCTGGTTTTTCAACACCTGAGGTATCTCATAAATTCTGTCTTCTCTCATGGTCTTGGTTCTCTTCTCTTGTGATCCATACTGATGCCCTTCTTTGTTTTCCTGTGTATCTTCTGGTTTTCTTCCTTCCTCTCCTTGACCCCTAACTTGGAAACATACAGTTCTTTTGGGAAGTGGCAAATAAGGTCACCATTCTGGGTGAATGGAGTTTGAAAAGCCCATACTCAGTAGTAAGCAGTGAAGGAAGATGAATTAGGTTTCTGAATCAATGGGAAGTCCATCTCTGTTGTTGAATGAAGGAAAGTTTAGGCTTAGAAAAGCAGAGGGAAGAGAATGAAGGAAGGAGATATTTGGCTTTTCTTTAAGAAAACCAGGATTGACTGGTCAGTTTGAAAAGCTGACTTCTCTGCTCTGTAGGTCCTTGTAGAATACTTCTAGCCCATGCAAATTTTGTGGCTTAGTATAATGATGAACAAATAATAGTGAGCATTTGTTGTACATTTTGTGGTACGTGCTGTGCTAGTGTTTTATTTAATCAGTTTGGCAGGTCTGTGATACATGTGAAATTATAGTCCCTATTTGCAAGAGAGATAGCTGGGGCTTTCAGAGGCCAAGTTACTTCAATTCATACAAAGAGCAAATAGCAGAACAAAATATGAACTCATGTTTACCTGACTTCAAAGTCTGCTCAGTAATGTGTTCTTACTTGGTGTGTGAATGTAGCAAGTCACTTAACCATTTTGAAGCTTTGTTTTTCCATCTTTAAAGTAGCCTCCACAGTCCCTGATGAGCACCTCCACAGTCCCTGACTCACTGTTGATGCTCAGCAAATAGTACTGCCACTTTTCCTGAGTTCATTCTTTTTCAGGGCAGTAAATGACACGTGAGAAGGTCTTCTTCATAAAGTGCCAGGAGAAAATTTATATTTGGGTGTTTCCTAGTGAATATAAGTTAAGGAAGCCAAAGGCACCAATCCCTTTTTCTTACATGTACATCCTTCTACACACACAGTCTTTCCGTTCTACTTACTAAAGACGAATTTCTTTCCAGAGAAAATTTGTAATCTGTAACTATATATAAAAGAGCTAAAATGCAGCTATCTCCAGAGGTGAGTATATGTGATTCATACAAGATTCTTTCCTAAGTTGATGGGGAGGCTAAGGAAAGATAGCAGTTTCTTGAAGAGCTTACAGTTGTCCTGTAATAGCTTCATGTCAGATCACTAACCAGGAGTTGAACTTAGTGGTAGTTCCAGTATGTGCAGCTGTATTTGTTTGCAACTTCAATGAGATCAGAAAGTAATGTTTTTTAAAGAAGCATACATCTTCAATTAAGTTGATGGAAAATTGGACAGCAGTAGTGAAAAATGTATTTGAAGATCAAAGGGGAAGCATTTGCTTGTGATTAGTGTAATTTATACTGTGCTTGACTCCAGGGGTCGCTTATGACTGCTTCCTTCCTACACATTGTACAGTTATGAAATACACACTTCTGGCTGTAACATGTACAAGATAGACTGATGACAGAAAGTTATTAGTGCTTCAAACAAATGAAAGCTATTCAAAAGTAAGAAAAGATGAGCTATACAAATAACTCTTTCCTTGGCTGCTCACAATTCATAATAATGCTGCATACCAGCCAATTAAGAGAAAAGAAACACTTGTCTTTCTGATGAGTAAATGGCTTGGGGAGTGGCAGTGGGGAAAAATGGAGCTTATAGGGGTGTAGTCAGTGAGGTGGGTGCTACCTTCTCAAAAACCTTAAATTTGTTTCTCCCCAGCACTTCTCAGTACACACTTACAGCATCAGTTCAGGATCTTCGTGCCTTAAATTTAATTCATACAAGTAGGAAGCCTGTGTAGAGAATAAGGAATTAGAGATGTATAAAAGATGTCAGTGTTGAAAGCTTAATATGATTCATATTACTGAAAACTTTAAAGAGAAAGGAGTTTATGTGAAAATTTAAATCTGTGAAAACCCACACCACAAGAGGGAGAAAAAGCTTACATCCCTTGGGTGACTTCTTTTTCTCATGTGACATTTTCAGCTCCTTCTGGTCCCCTATACAGGAAGAGTCCAGACTGTTCCAGCTTCACCTCTGAGGGTCATTTAGCTCAGTTTACATCGGGCCCATTTTTTCCCTCCCAGCAGACTCTGGGTGTGGCAGCACCAAAGACCATGATGCTAGCTAGAATAAAGACACTCCTCTTCTATCAGGATCTGAGCCCAAGGAATGCTCTTCACTGGCGAGGCTGGGTCTGCATTGAACATGGAATAGACAGGAAGACATACTGTTTCCATGAGCAGAGAGTGCAGACAGGTGAGGCATGCAGGTGGCCAGAGCAGGGCAGGCTGAGGCAGGTGGGCTCTCCAGAGTCAGGTGAACTTCAGAGTAATGGAAACAGGAGGGAGCCTCCCCCAGTCTTTGCTGCCCAGGGGTGGGTGCCCTCAGGACTCCCTTCCTGAGGGCTGGAATGCAAATCCAAACACTCTTGGTGAGGGCAAAGCTCGCACTGCCTGAAGCAGAAGCAAGGACCTCAGACCCAGCCCAGGCTTGCAGCAGCCGGGGGAGCTGGAAAGCTGTCTTTACCTACAGGCCACTGCTCACTGCTCTTGTTGCAGAGCCACATCCGCCTTCATAAAAGACTTTTACAGAGAGGTGGCTGTGTATCACTAGCTTACATTACAACTTGAGAAAATAGGGTTTCCTAGGCACTGGCACAAAAAAGGAATAAGGAAAGTTTATCTGATTATGGCATTGTCTCTCATGTGCTTATTTCCTTCCTATATTCTTTGTTACCTGTATATTACTGCTGGACTGGAAATTGCTTCTCTTGGGTATATTCAGTGCAAATGCTCTTTAGTTTCAGTGTTTGTTTTTTTAAGGCTGCTTCTTATGAGGATAAATAATTTAGTTGCAGTTCTATTTCTGGTTACTTTTTTCTATACTTGCCCTTGGCCCAAATAAAAGCTAAGAGAAACTATTATTATGTTTCTATTTTCTCTCATTATCAGGACTCCAAAGTTTAAATTATTTTCTTATTTTAGCAGGGAATAAATGTTTCTTTGTCCCATCAGGAAGATGTTCCAGATTTGACTCTCATTTTAGGATTAGACTTAAAACTTTGTACCTGTAGTTCACATAATAGACTTCTAAAACTGGCAGTATCTTAGAAGGCTTTGAGATCACCTAGCATAGCCCCTGCATTTCTCAGAGTAGTAATCAGAGGTCAAGGGAAAACTAATAGCTAACATCTTATTCAGCTGTTGTCCCTTCCACTTATAATAGACCTGTGACATAAGTGATTTTTCCCACAGTTGCATAGGACGTGAAAGCTGGCTGTAGGAAGTTTCCTTTATAAAGGTACTTCAGTTTAGTTCTGTATAAGAGAGAAGAACAGTTAGTGTTTTCCATTAACAAATAGTTCCTTTAATGTTTAATTAATAAGGTACTGATTCCAAAAGTTCAGACATTATTTAATCTAGTAAAATCATATATGTCATCTAGTAAAATGGGTATATTTTGTGAAGGTCTGTCATATGGGGAGGAAACAGATAAGGTTTCTTTCCCCATGGTTCTAGCAGTCAATACTATTTTCTTGATTTTTAGATCGAAAAGCTTTTGTATCTGAGATTTGTCTGCCTTGATTATTATTTTTAAAGAAAGCATTTGACAATTGATAGTAATAAAATGTAGCATATGATATCCATTATATATCCATGGCCTTCAAATTGTGAAATCCAGCAGTAAACTCTTGTTCAGTGAACTGAGGGTTTCTGTTTTTGGTACTAGGGATCAAACTCATGACCTTGTGCTTATGAGGCAGAAGGGTGCCACTGAGCTAAATCCCCAGCCCAAAATGAGGGTTTTTTTGTTTGGTATGTAGTGTTTTTGTTTTTATCAGAAATTTGACTAAATGTTCTTTAAAATGGCTAGGTTTTTAAAAATCTGAGGTAATTATATATGTATATATAACAAAGTTAATTGTTCTTATAATTTTAAGCATACAGTTCAGTTGCATTAATTTAATATCCTCAAAATGTGCTGCCATCAACACTATACTGTCCATTTTTAGAACTTTTTCATCATCCTAAACATAAAACTCTCTATATCTTTAGTTTCAAATACTAGAGGATTCCTGGTTATTTTCTTTTTTTCTATGGGGAGAGTGGTCTCTCCCATCTTTTAGTATCTCAATATTCAGTATAATCTGTGTGTATTTATTAAACACTGAGTTTATCATTTGAATTAGAATTGTTTATTTTGATTTGTATTATTTTTCATGTGTGTAGGTATCTGAAAATTACATTTTTTTCTTTTATGATTTACATTTGCTTCTTTTGGAGTAATGAAATATATATGCATGAAATTTGAAGATGACACTAAATAATACAAACACAAAGAAAAGAATTTTTTATTGAACAAGGGAAGGAAGACTAGAGATTAAGGACTGTGATATACAAAAAAATCTGGCATTCTCATATATAAGGAGTTTCCTTCCCCTCCTTTTAATGCTTAAAGGAGGAAGTACAGCCAATATTAAGGATATTTGATCTGAAAGGATTCAGTTCATAAACATTGGATATAAACTGGACTCAATGGGAAAGACTTGCTCCCCATATGTGACTTTTTGGGCTCAAAAATACAGCTGCTTAATAGAGTTTAAAAAATTATTTCAAAGAGTATAAAAACCCCATGAGGGGGGGCATTGAGATTATATTCTTTTTCTTCTGCTAAATTGTAAAGTTTTCACGACTGGTTCCTTCCCTCAATTCATGATGATCACATACTGTTGTTGCATAATAAAGAAATGGAGAAGTTATCAGAAAACGTTTATCATAAATTGTTTTGTACAGTAAGAATTTGAGAAAATCAACACGAAAGTACTTTGAATTTTAAGTTTACATATTAAGCAAGTAATAGTATATGAACATTTTTATCTGAATTTGTGTTTGTTTTTAAAAAATGACTCAATTGATGAAATGTATTTATTTCAGCTAAAAGATGGTGGCAAGGCATCCCAGGCAAATGTAAGAATAGGAGATGTGGTCCTCAGCATTGATGGAATAAGTGCAAATGGAATGACTCATCTGGAAGCCCAGAACAAGATTAAGGGTTGTACAAGCTCCTTAAATATGACTCTACAAAGGTAAATTGCTTTTGTTTGGCTCTGAGAGAGAAAACTACATGGAAGAATATTTTTGTGTGTCTGATTCATGGTGTTAACTACTACTTTTTCCAGTAGATAAATAAAAAAATGGCTTTTCATTTCATTCATAACTGAGCAGTATGAATATTGCTGAAAGTGATGGATCATTTCTCCATATAAAGGCATAAATTCACATACTCAAAAATTAGTTTCAGAGAATTCAAGAATTCTTGACATTTCTTAGTGAAGCACAAGCTAAAAATTCTTATGGTAGGGCAAAATTCTTGTCCTTAATATTTTGAGTAATGTATCAGAGAATACTGTTTTAGAATGAAGTTTAACTTTTCTCAGTTTACCTTTTTCATTTTTACCAGTCCTTTCAAGGCTGAGTTTTCAACATAATTTGTTGTCTCTTTTCAAGTTACTCTGGCTTCAATCATAAAATAGTCATGTTATTGATCATAATATTGTTGTTCTGGGGTTTTTGGAGCGCCCCAGCATTTGACCCGAATTGAAATTACCTACAGTATGTGTTAAAAATAACTGAATCAGCATTTCTGGAAAGTAGGATTCAAGAACATATTTGGTTAAATTACTTGATTATAATGAATTATGAAGTTGGAAACACTACAGCATCTTAGACTTCGTTTAAGGTAGGAAGGTAAGGGAGTGGAGATAGGGTGATTGAGTGATGGCTCTCGACCTTTAGGTTTACAAGGGAGGCATGATCATGTACCACGTGGTTATGGAGGGTTTTAAACAGTCTTTTTGATGGTTATAGAAAGTGTTCTGTCATGTATCAAATTGAGAAAACACCACCTACCCCCAAAGCATCTTACAGTCTTCTCTAAGTTCCCAAACATATTGTGACTTTTTCAAAGGGAAATAAATAAGAGGCACCTTCAAAACCTATTGGACAATGTTTCTTGTAGCCTCTCCTGAGTGTTCTTTCCACAGTGTTCTGTGGGAAGCATGTTGGAAAAGCTTCTCTGCTCTTCACTACTGCTCTTCTTGGGATTGCTATTGCAAGGGCTATTGAAGGGTAAATTCTGCTTGCTTGTTGGGATGAGTATCAATTTACAATTGAAGAGAAAAAATGTTTTCCATTGAGAGACTCAGATGCTTAGATCCACTTTCATGTATCATAACTTTCTAATGCTCTTTGGAGCCTCTTTAGTGGGAGAGCTTTCTTCAGTAGGTCTGCTGAATCAATTGTTATATATATTTACATTTTCACAGCTATTAGCTATATAAATACATAGAAAAGTAGTCAGAGAGAAAAAATATTGATAAAATCATTCTGTTTCAGTAATATCCTTGTGTTCTGTATATTGAGACATGTAACATTAAAAGTTGTTACTCATTAACTGAAGATAGTCACTTTTATTTGCAGGCATTTTTGCCAAGTCTGAATTTTGAAAGGGAGCCAAGAGCATAAGAAGCTTAACTTGTCTAAGATATCTAGCAAACAAACAAATTTAAATGATGATGCACCGTTTCTCACATTCAAAAATTGAGAGTTTATACAATGGTATAAACGCTTTTCCTGGGCTGTTATCTTTTTTTTTATACTAACTAGGCTGCTTGTTTTCACATTGTTTTTCTTTTAACTAAGGACCCATATCTTATTTTCTATTGCAAACAGTCTGGGCTTCATAAGAATAGATGAAAACCAGATGTTACTCTGTTTGGACACATTTCCAGTTTAAGTAAGCTGCTACTGACTCTAATAAAGAATCTTTCAAATTTCTAAAGTACAAAATCTAACAGACCAATGTATAAGATCAATGTTTTATAAACATTTGGAGATTATACTGAATCTTCTTGTTTTTGAATGTAGATGTTCAGGGACCTGAGATAGAACTTTAGAGTCCTGTTGTTATTGTAATTCTTTTTATGTTTCTGAAAATTTCTCAATATATATATATATATATATATATTTAAGAGAACTCAGTGGTATAACATTGACAGTGTTGTTGAAGGAATACTTTTTGCTTTGTAAGAAAAAGACATCGAGGAGTTATGTTTGAGTTGTTCCTATTCCAGGGCCACTTTCTGCTTTTGAGCAACATCCTTAATTGGCCTTCACTCACTTCTTTGTCCCTCACTAACCATTGTTCTGATTCCAAATTGAATTACATACAATTTCTCTCTGCAACTTTTTCTTCGTAAACATGTAGTTTTCTTTGTGAATATGTAATCTTCATGATAGACTTGTCTTAGTCCTTTCCCTAAAAGCAGAATCTAAGATGGGGGTTCTGTGAGTGAGACATAAAGGTCTCCTTTCAAATGTTACCTGTAAGAGAGCGAAGGTGTGTGAGGAAGCAGGGGAATCAGAGATGGGCAGATGTGATTTCAGGGGATAGCTAGCTGCATTGGATCCAGCAGGAAACTTGGAAATAAAATTACCCTGTAGAAGCTGTCTTGCCTTGAGGCAGGAGAAGTTTGGCTTTAGCTCCTCCTTTCTTGTGTTTGGTTAGTTCTTGGCTAAAAGCTGTGTAGAAGAGTAAAGGGAATGAGACAGGAGTAGGAGGTAGTCTTGGTTGCGTCCGCAGAAAGTTGCTGCTGTGAACCTGAGCAGGAATCCAGGGTTCACATGGGAAGTTGGTATACCAGACTGGTAGATGGGTCCCTAGATCTTGCCCAGACCAGACTCCTTGGCTCAGAAGATTGTACTCTTTTTAACCTAGTCTCACTCAAACTGTCCTATTCAGATCACCACTACTCGTCTTTGAAGACCCTCTGTTCTATTTAGGGTAGGCCTCTCACTTTCTCTCACATGTCTTTATGCCCTGTCATGCAATTTGTTTCATCTGGAATGCCTACCACCTGTTCACTGCCATTGTGTGCCATCATGCATAAAACCAGCATCAAACCCCATCTCTTGCCCAGAGTCCTACATTTCAACTATTCCTTTTTTACCTCTCTGAACTTGTGGGAAGCAGTTTCATATAATCCTTATTTATGTAGTATTATATAACAGGTACAATAAAAAAGAATAAGATTGGTTCCATAGTCTCATACCAATAAACCTAATTAGTTACTGGTCATACTAATGGTGCCTATATCATTAACTAATTACTCCATGTATATTACTCCTAATTCTCCAACAAGACTTTTTGAAAGCAAAGACAATGTATTTTGTACTATTTGTATCTGACAACATCTTGTATAGTTTTATGTTTTTGATAGCTAATGAAGGAATACATACAACATTATTTACCCCAAACTGGAATCATTTATTTATTTCACAGGTGTTTATGGAACTTATGTGTCAGGCATTTTCATACATAATGAAGGCATAAAAGTGAACAACAGACAAAAATCCTTGCCCTCGTAGTACTGGCATTTTAGTGGCCAGAGAAACAATAAACAGGAAAGCAGTATTCATGGTATATCATGGGGGCAATTGACATTATGAGGGGGAAAAAGCACGTAAGAGATACTAAGGAATGCAGAGGTAGGGAATTGCAATTTAAAGTAGAGTGGTGAGGAGAGGCGCAGAGAGGTTGTGGGCTTGAGTGTCCCAAAAAGGGATGCACTAATGCATGGCCCCATCAGGGCGCAATGGGTGAAGAAGGCAGACTGGCAGGAGTTGATGTCAGAGTTGTAGGGGAGTCCTTGGGAAGTTTCGAACTAAAACTTTTCGTGGCCTATGAAGATAAATGTGAGAAAGCTTTGCTCAGTTATAGCTGCTTGGCTGTAGCTAGAGCTGAGTTTGGGAGAGGCATGACTCCATTATTGGAAAGGGATGCCGGAGGAAGAACAGACTAGTGAGGCACTGCCTTTTCTGTCTACTGCACCTCTGCTAACAGCTGTTATTCCTTTCTGCTTACCCCCAAGGATGTAAAGAGAAAACCTGTTTTTTAAAAAAATAAAAATTATCAGCAGTCTTGTGAATTTTTTTGCATTAAATATTATATATGCATTAATTTTTTAAAATTGTGTGATTTTTAAAATTTTATCATTAGGTTCAAAGTCAGTAAACTCAAAAGGGTTTTAGATAAGAAACACTTAAGACAAAGATACTTGCTTAAGGCTGTTTATAACTGGTAGTTCTATCTGGTCCAATTAGGAGGCATGTAATAAGGCATATTTTCCTGGCATAGCCTACAAAATAAGGTTGATTCACTATACTCTGGGTATCTAATGAACATAGAGCTGTGGGACATTTTAATTTGTATTTTACCCTTGAAACGGATTGAGTTTTTGTTTTTTCTTCTGTAACTGGAACTAATTCTAGTACTACCATAAGTGGACTAAAAAATCCTATTTTAAAGTATTTTTCATCTTGAGGCAATTGTTTCCAGTTTCTAGGGTCCCAGAAAAATTCCTTCCATGTTCTCGGTGTCTTGAACAAAGAATTGGACAAGACATGAGAAAAAGATAGCGAAGATTTAAATTTGTTACTGGTAGAGAGGAATTTTGCTCTGCCCAGTGAGAGCTGCATCTCGAGCAGATTAGCAGCAGCCTTAAGGCTAACTGCTGAGCTCTTTCCTGCATCTTGTTCCTAGAGCTCGCCTTTCCCATCTGAACATTGTGTTTGGGACATTATCAGATACCCGCTGGGCCACACTCTGCTCTTAGAGGTTCATTTGGTTTTATGCCAGATGTGAGTGAAAAATTAAAAATGGCACTTTTCTGACTGGTCCCAGTTGCAGGGCTTGGGAAACTTGTGTTCTGCCCTCTGTAGTTGTCAGGTTCCGCCCTCTTGTTCAACCAGCTTGCCTTGTCCTAATCTCCTATCTCAAAATCAGGTAAACAGTGGTATACTTATTTTTCGGTATCAAATAGATTTTGTCTGTGATTTCAAGAACAATTTTTGTTCATTCATTTTGTGGTTTGTAGGGACTAAACCCAGGGAATGCTGAGCTGTACCCCCAGCTTGCTTATCTATTTATCTGTCTTTCTATCAGTTGGTACTGGGGATTGAACCCAAGGCCTCACATACATGCTAGGCAAGCACTCTACCATGGAGCTACTTACCCGACCCTTGTTTG